TTTGCGCTGTCTGTTTGTATATTTGGTTTTTGCTCACATAAATTTGTATTCGTCTTTTTGCAGAATATTCTGTATGTTATTGTTTTCTTCTTAGGCCGTCATTTCAATTACTCAGCCGAAAGTATGCTTGAATACGCGTATACCGCTGCACAGCGGTACCATTATATACAAACACATAAAGGTCGACCCGCTTTAAAAAACATCAATTTTCCTAATATGGTTTTTGTTAATTTTTCAAACGTGCATTAAATAAAAGAACTACAAAAAAATAATACAATAAAATTGACTCAGGAGGACACCTAACCTCAATATATTCCTGCTGCTGCTGCACAGCAGAACAATAAAACCACGCAATCGCATTCGTAAAAAACTTACATTTTTTAATTTAGTTTGATTAATAAAATAAAAACAAAAATGATGAGCCGTCATTAGGTGTAAAAAATAGAAATGTTATCCAAAGCGAGTCGACCTTTGTGTGTTTGTATATATTGGTACCGCTTTGCAGCGGTATAGACGTATGAAATCACACTAGCCGCTGAGTAATTGAATTATAATATTTATTTTATTACATATTTCGTCACGATATTAATTTTTTTTATCTTTTTTGTTCACATTCACATTATTTTTTATATTTCTAAATAAATAAGTCTCCAACAAAATGTAATACAATAAATAATATATAACTTGCTTGACAGCAGATTTCGGTAGGGACAACTAATGACATTTGTGATTTGACATCTCGGCCACGGTTTGGCCTGTCTGCATTTCAGAGAGTATTTCTTTTTTTTTCTTACAACGACATGAAAAAATAAATAAAGAGTCTTACGGGAGTAAGACGAACTTTTCCGCACGGTGGTAGTTGCGTATTTTATTAAGCAAGTTCAAAATAATATTTGTTCGATTTTTCAAGCCTTTCAAGTGGCATAAAGTTCGAGACCAAAAAATATGTTCAAACCTTGGCATCGAAATATTCTTTAATTTAATAGCAGAAGTACTCGAGAAAAGATTTTTCACACTTTTATGATGAACCCATTTGTACGACATTTGAAAGTATTCTACTTTCTAACAAAACACTATGAAAAAATATGTTTGACGTTAATTTTGCCATAAAAATTATTTTTGAAAGTTTTTCATAACTAAAGTCACAAAAAATTTGGATTTTTGTATGGGAGC